TGGACCCTCCTTCGCAGCGGCCACGTCTTTTCGGAGACATTCATTGGGCCGATACTGAAAGACTGAAAGGAGGAGAAGGCAACAGGAGTTGGAGGAGGGGTAGGAGGATCGCGAACGAGAGCCGATGGGGCGCGGCCCCCCACGCGAGCGCGAGCCCGAGGAGAGGCGGCGGCGGCGGCCCCTTGGCGAATTTTTCCCGCCGCGCCTTCAAAAACGGTTGCCGCCGGGGCTTCTTCGGAATGCCGCGCCGTCGACACACGCCGGGCCAACGGCCCGCACGCGCCCGCGCGCAGCTCGTCGGCGGCGGTCCCCGCTGGGCTCCTGGCGGCAGGGAGGGCGCGGGGGTGGCCGTGCGCTCAGTTGGGCTCTGTCCAGAAGAGGTGGACGAGCATCACCTCCTGTGGGGCCGGCAGCCGACCCGGGGCGCCGCCGCGCCTGAGGAACGAAGGGGCCTTTCACGCCACGGTGAACATAACATGTAGGCACAAACAAAACCCCCCGACCCAAAACCCAAGGAATCGCCCGAGCCCCTCCTGAACCGAAAAATCCGCCGACCCTGTCGGCGTGTGTGAGGGGCTTTTCCGTTCGAGCCGTCATCTCCGTCATTCTTTGTACTCGTCGTCTCTGTCCTTCCCTTTCCCTGGGAGACCTCTTCCCCTGGGCTCCAGCCAAGCCGACCTTGAGCAACCCCGTAATTGAGTCGAAGGGAAGCCCCTTCCCTTTGATCCCTCCCCCGCCGGGAGGGGGGGGGGGGTAGCGACCCCCCCCCCGGGTCAGATACGACGCCCCCCCCTGGGACTCCTCTTCCCCTGGGCTCCAGCCAAGCCGACCTTGAGCAACCTCGTAATGAGTCGAAGGGAAGCCCCTTCCCTTTGATCCCTCCCCCGCCGTAAGGGGGGGGGTAGGGGTTACCGACCCCCCCCGGGTCAGATACGACGCCCCCCCCAGGGACTCCTCTTCCCCTGGGCTCCAGCCAAGCCGACCTTGAGCAACCTCGTAATTGAGTCGAAGGGAAGCCCCTTCCCTTTGATCCCTCCCCCGCCGGGAGGGGGGGGGGTAGCGACCCCCCCCCCGGGTCAGATACGACGCCCCCCCCTGGGACTCCTCTTCCCCTGGGCTCCAGCCAAGCCGACCTTGAGCAACCTCGTAATCTGAGTCGAAGGAAGCCCCTTCCCTTTGATCCCTCCCCCGCCGGGAGTGGGGGGGGGGGTAGCGACCCCCCCCCCGGGTCAGATACGACGCCCCCCCCTGGGACTCCTCTTCCCCTGGGCTCCAGCCAAGCCGACCTTGAGCAACCTCGTAATTGAGTCGAAGGGAAGCCCCTTCCCTTTGATCCCTCCCCCGCCGGGAGGCGAGGGGGGGGTAGCGGGGAGCGGTAGCGACCCCCCCCCCAGGTCAGATACGACGCCCCCCCCCCGTACCGACCTTGAGCAACGTCGTAATTGAGTCGAAGGGAAGCCCCTTCCCTTTCCCTTCCCCGCCGGGGGAGGGAGAGGGGGTCCCGGGGGGGTCCCGGGGGAGTCCCGGGGAAGTCCCGGGTCAGATACGACACCTCCCTCCCCCACCTTCTCGTCCTTCTCCCCGTTCCCCAAAACCATCCCACAGCCCGTGCCTCTTGCTGCGCATTGCGAACAGGGTCGGCGGCACCGGCCGTCAGGCCTTCGCAATATCGTTTTTTTTTTTCGGCGTCGTGACTGTACTACTCTCGTCTCATCTCCTCTCCCCCTGTGCTGTGCGGTGGTGCCGCTGCCTCTCCCGCGTGTTGCTTTCTGACGTGCGCACGCGATGTCCAATCTGTTTCTTTTCTCGATCTGACCGTTCGTGGCCTTTCTTGAGCGGTGTTCCCGCAGCAGCGATGGCCATATTTTCGGGTCGTCGTTTTGCCCGGTCGGTCAGAACGGCGATTTCGCCCCAGCACGGGTCACATTTCAGGATCCAGTTTCGTCCTCGTCGTTGTCGCCCCCTCCCTTTCCCTCCATCAGTTTCCTCTTGTCCTCCTGCTCCTCCCGCTCCTCCTACTCCCCGCCCTTTCCCTCCATCAGCTTCCCCTTGTCCGCCTGCTCCTCCTGCTCCATCCTCCTACTCCTCCTGCTCATGCTACTCCTCACCCTCCTGTTTCCTTAACACTTACTCAATCATTCTCACGTCGGGCTTTGGGCAGTGAGCCCCAAGCGCGCCATGCCGTCTCTGTGGAAAATACGGGAGTAACTGTATTGAACACAGGGAGACACGAAGTACAAGTAGAGGGATCTGTGCTGTGAAAAAGCACTTCCTCTTTCCTCTAACGGAGGCCAGGGCGCGCCAGTCGCCTGCGCGCCAGGTGAATCAAGGGCCCTTGTGAGCCACAGCGGCGGGACATAAGGGTGGTGAGGCGGAGGCGAAGGAGGAGGAGAGGCTGACATGGGCATGACAACCGCAGCTCCTGCCTTTCTTGCAGCCGACACGTCGCCTAGCCTCAGTCCGAGAACTTCCGCATATTACCCTCGAACTCCGTAGCCATTCAGATCTGGTAGCCTTCTCACGTAGTCCCAAGGCGTCTGTGACGTGCAGCTGGTGCGGCTCTACGCCTCGAAAACGTCCCTAGGAACGTTCCATGACAGGATTGTCAGATCCTGGTTCCATGACTAGGTTGCCAGATCCTGATTCGTCCGCAGTTTTTCCTATCTCGTCCATGAAGCTCTGCGGTTCGGGGCCGCTGAGGCCGAACTGTTACCCAGTTCGCTCCATGCTGCGCTGAGCTCCATGGTCCATTGAAGAACGCATCTCTCGCTCCTATGTGTCATCTTTACCTCGAGAATCGTCAGGTCGGAATCCTCGATTTTCTCGTCCGAGTGCGCGTGGACGCTCGGACACGCAATGGGACTAGTCTGTGTAAGGTACATCCTGACCGTGCGATTCCATAGCCTGTGCCATCCAAAGACTCGCTGCTTCGTCGGGAAATTGTCCCAGATCTCCCTCATCGTCGTAGTATGGATCCAGAGCTTGGCGGCGTAGGTACTGCCTTCGGCTTGGCACCACTGCTTGTGAGCATGTGCCTTGGGATAGCCTGCGCGGCGTTTGCGACTCACGTGCGTCTCGAAAATGCATGACTATGTATTCATATCTGGGGCCGCATCAGACGACGTGTGCACCATGTCGCGTGCGCAAAGAGGTACGGCGAAGTGCCCCTTCGCACTAGACACCGAAGATGTTGTCCGTGCTCGAGGGTCCCTGCTTCAGCTTGCACAGACCTTCCTTGCTCCAGATAGAAGCAAGAGCTGCCAAGTTGGCGCCGTGGTAGGCGGTCTGGACGTCGGCATCCAGCTTGCTGAACACTTTGTCTTGCTGCATCTCCTTGGCGCGCACGCCCCGCGCGTGAGGGCCGTCGAAGGGCCCGAAATATGTTCGCGGGAAAAGTTTGATCCTTTAGACGCCTGAATGCCCGAGGGTGAACTCCAGGACCACCACGTCCAACACAATCGTACTGACAGATAGCGTCGATCAGGCGGCCCCTCGCCACGTCGACCTTGGCGCATACCTCCCAACAGGAGCTCATCGTCTTCCCTGGGACTTGTTTCCTCTGTCTTGTCAGCTTGTAGCTCTACCTCCAGTGGGCACTGATGTACTTCTCTTGGGGTCCGAGAAGTATCTGCCCCTTTCCTGCTGGATATCTTCCACCGCAGGAGTGGAGACGTACTGTTCGATTGTCATCGCGGCTTTCATGTCCTCCTGGGCGGGGGGGCCAGCTGATGGGGCGCTGTCCACGTGCCCCTTGAGAGGGGGCGCGGCTTTGGACAACTCGCGGTAGTTTACAAGAAGGCGCTGCAGCTCCTCTCTCGGCCCGTGCTCGCCGCGGACCGCGATCTGACCCATGTCCCGGAGAGCAGTCTCGCCGTCTTTCACCAACTCCCCCCAGCTGTCGTTGATTAGCTTGTTCTCCTCCTGGGGTGGGTGCGGGGGGGGCCTGCCAATCTTCGGCAGGTCACTGTATCATGCCGCTGACGAGAGCCAGTGCCGCGGGAACCCCATTTGGTAGGTCGCTGAAGCTCCTCCAAGCGAAATCTGACGCAGGGTGAATAGTCGCGGGGTCCTCGGTCTGTCTCTGTGCACGCAACGGAATAACCGTAGAGACGTTCGTAATCTTTGGCCCTGGCTGCTGTCGCCAGGAGTGCACCGCGACCTCGGCGTCAAAAGTACTGCGCGGTCTGATCATGTTGACAACTTCCTCGGCGGGCATGGACGTCGGCGGCCTCATCTGGATATGTGCGGTAGGACATCTCGAGCACTGATGCTGAACTGGTAGCATATCCGCCAGGGGCTCGTTGAAGGCGGTGGTCAGATTCTGAGCTTGCTCACCCAGCGTCTGTCGAGCACGGCTCTTCAGCACCAAACAATAAATCAAGTCGGTGGGCCAACGTCCGTTCTGCTCCCCTGCATCGGGCGGCTGGCCCTGCATCGTCCGGTCCACGTCTGCGTCCTGATCTTCCACCGTTTCGTCCTCCGCCGTCTCCCGCTTCATCTGGTGAATCTTCTGCCTCTCCACCGTCGCGATGTAGATCACCGGCTGCTGACGTGCGGGTGACAGCCGCGGCTCCCGATGCGGCCGCAGAGATCGCCTGAGCGCCAAGGAAGGGTGCTGACGAGGCTGCGCTCGACATGCTGAAGCCCAGCCACATGTGGGGGCCCGCCAGAGTGTGAGGCGAGCTGCCGGGCGTGCCCCTGGAGCACGAAGGGGGAGGCACGCCGCCGCTGAAGGGCTCTGCGGCGAGGAGCTCTGTCCCCGACACGGGGACTCGAGGCGCATAATGCCAAAACATAAAAATGTGAGCCGCTCTTTCTCCTCCCTCTCCTCTCGCTGGTGGGGGCGGCCTGCGCGAGTACGAGTGCTCCGCCCGCCCCTCTCTGCGTCCGCCCAAGGGTCAAAACCTTCCTTTCTCCTGCTCATCCTCCTGCTCATCCGCCACCTCCTCCATTTCCTCCTCCTCCTCCGCCTCCTCCTCTTGTCCAAAAATTATAATCCCGAAACGTCCAACTTGCAAATCTCGATGAGTGCATGGTTAGAGCATCGGCTACGAAGCCGACTTGACTGCTCAGTGCTAATTGCCCCACTGCTCTAGCTCGGATCGCGGCTTTGCCAGGGAGGGGCAGATGCACTCACAGGCCCGATCAGCATGAGGTACTGACGGACCTCAGACCTGATGGTAGTCAGAACGGCGGCGGATAAGCAATACTTGGGCCAACCAACGCAGACTAGCGATCCGTAGATCTGGCGCGCGGGCGCTACATCCACGGATCGGAGAAACCGCTCCCTCACAATTGGCACCAGTGCCGCCTCGTCTGGCGACGGAGCGAGCCGATTTCGTGCACAACTGGGACCCGTCGTTAATCTACGCGCCACGCGCTCTAATCCATGTGCTGGTCTCCTCGATGCTTTTCATCGTGACGACCCCTCGAACCGACCCCCATCAGGCGGCACTGCTGGTGCATCCTGCGGTGGCCCGTCGCGGGAAATGCCGTTCTCCTCCAGCGTGGCGCTGTCCTCGCGGTTCGGCGGCCGTGTTCCTGCCTCTGCTGCTGCCGCTCCTGCTGAACTCCTGCAATTCCTCCCCCCTACTCCTCGTTCTCCTCTGTCTCCTTCCCCTCTTGTTTCTCCTCTTTCCTCCCCGCTACTTACGCATATTGTGATGATTGCCTCAACCGTTGTTTTGACGATGGTGGCAATGATGAACATCAACAAGATGAGAAGGAAGATCCCTCCTCTTCCTCGTCGTCGTCGTCGTCCTCCTCCTCCAAGATGCCGTGCCAATAATACATCCAAGTGCCACATGCGAATCGGAACGAACACACACACATATATATATACATATATATATACATATACACATATATATATATATATATATATATATATATATATATCACATCGTTTCGGACCGATGGCGGACAACTTTCAGCAAGGCTGGGCTCGCTCGCAGGCATCGTAAGGTCTTCAACATTGCTTCGCGATGGGTCTCGCTAACTCACGCCTCAACCCGCATTCTTTCTCTCCCTTCCTCCCGTCCCCCTCCCTCGTCCTCCTCCTCCTCTTCCTCCTCGTCCTCCTCCTCCTCCTCATCATCATCAGCATCATCATCATCCTCATCGTCATCGTCATCCTTCCCCCTGGCTTTGCGCACCCTCAAATGCAGTCAGGCTGCTTCTGCGTAAATCATTGAGAATGTAAAGCAGTGGGAATACAAGGGCTATTCTCACAGAGGTGTAGAACGGTGTCGAATAGCAGGTGTGTCGTGTAGCAGGCGCGGGAGGCTAGCCAAATGACAAAGTTGCAACGGCAAATAATCTCTCCCACACCCGGCAAACCTTAACCTCGGTTCGAGTCTGGTGCTCAAGCGGGTCCGTCGTGCTTCGCTGGCAGCCCGGACGAACACCGCCCAGACCACCACCGAGAACCGACCAGACTAGCCACACTAAACAATTACAGTGCTGAGCTGGACAAAGCGGGGGGTTTTGCTGACCACCCCCCTAATAAACAATTGCACTGCATCAGAGACCTTCTATTGACCAAGCCCCTCATAACTTAGCCTGGCGAAAGACCCGACCGTATGCAATTGTGGGAGCCGCAAATGTGAGTATCGTCTGCGGTGGAGCTCCCTATGGGGCCACGAACCGTGTGAGGGGTGCGCCGACATGAGGGTGGAACTGCATGCGAACCCTGCCGCTTTGGCCTTCGGTGGAACTCCCTATGGGGCCACGAACCGTGTGAGGGGCGCGCCGAGATGGTGGAACTGCATGCGAACCCTGCCACTGAGGCTTCTGGTGGAGCTTCATATGGGGCCACGAACCGTGTGAGGGGTGCGCCGAAATGAGGGTGGAACTGCATGCGAACCCTGCCAGTGGGGCCATTCGGTGAAACTCCCTGTGGGGCCACGAGCCGTCTGAGAGGAGCACCGACATGGGGGCGGAACTGCATGCGAATCCTGCCGCTGGGGCCTTCGGTGGAGTTCCCTATGGGGCTACGAACAGCGTGCGGGGTGCGCCGGAACGAGGGCGGAACTGCATGCGAACCCTGCTGCTTTGGCCTTCGGTGGAGCTCCCTATGGGGCCACGAACCGTGTGAGAGGTGCGCCGACATGAAAATGGAACTGCATGCGAGCCCTGTCACTGGGGTCTTCGGTGGAGCTCCCTATGGGGCCACGGACCGTGTGAGGGGTGCGCCGAAGTGAAGTTGGAACTGCATGCAAACCCTGCCGCTGGGGCCCTATAGGGCCACGAACCGTGTGAGGGGTGCGCCGAAATGAAACGAATCGTACGATCCTTCCCAGGAAAAAAATCGTGAAAAAAATCAAAAAGTCTACCCGCGGGCGCTTTCCGAACCTTATAAAACCAATGGCTTTTACATAGTTCGGTCATGCGAGCAACTTTTGCGCGCGCGCGTCGAGCTCCTTTAACATCGGCCGCCCGCTTGTCAGGGCCACAATCCCTCATAAAAAAACCATGTGGGGCACATGCGCGCGGCCGCCGCGCGCGGATGCCGAAATCCTTCTCGTCGTCGTCGTCGTCATCGGCGCCGTCGTCGTCGTCGTCGTCGTCGTCGGCGTCGGCGTCGGCCTCGGCGTCGTCGTCGTCGTCGTCGGTGTCGTCGTCGTCGTGTTCGTCGTCGTCGTCGTGTTCGTCGTCGTCGTCGTCGTCGTCGTCGTCGTTGTCGTCGTCGTCGAAGGCGTCGGAGTCGTCGTCGGTGTCGTCGTAATCGTCGTCGGCGTCGTCGTCGTCCTTTTCGCTGTCGTCGTCGGCGTCGGTGTCGTTGCCAAGTACCATTTGGTACCTGCCGTCACGGTCTTAAGAAGTCTTGCGGCCAACTTGCGGGTGGGAGGGTGGGATGTGTGCACGAGCAGTGGAAAAGGACATCTTCAGACACCAGAGTGATGCTTGCACGAGACAGTCAGAATGAATTCTCCTATCTAAAAAGAGAATAGACTCTAACCCCCCCCGGACTTATCGGTTCCCCCTGGGATAGTATATTTTCATATATATATATATACTGCACACTCGTCCATCCCAACAATGAAATCATATCATCCCAGCCAGGCCGGGTTCCCCCCCTGAGGTTCCCTTGTAAAAAACACTATGCGGTGACATTTTTTGTTCCAACATAGCACTTTTCACGAATCCCTTGCAAAAAAAAACGGGACGAAGTGCACACGCGCGCGTCGTCGCGCGCGCATGCCGAAATCCTTCAAAAACCTTTGGTGCCGGAAAGATTTCGCAATCGAGTTTCCAAAACACATACAAAAACATAAGGTTTCGCAACACAGTGTTGCTAAAACAGCTTCCGCGAAAGCTCTTGCGAAATCTTAAGAAAACCAATTAGGTTTTTCAAGATTCTCACAAAATCTACCAAACGGGCTTCGCGCGCGCTCATGTCGAAATCTGTCGAATGCCCTTGCGCGTTTGCCGTCGCGAGAATCCCCTGCAAAAAAAAGGACGAAGTGCAGACGCGCGCGTCGTCGCGCGCGTATGCCGAAAACCTTCAGAACCCTTCGGTTTCGGAAGGATTTCAAAATCGTGTGTCCGAAAAACCTACAAAAACAAAAGGTTTCGCAACATGGATTTTCAACAAAAGCGTGCGCGCGCGCTCTTGCGTCGTCGTCGTCGTCGTCGCCGTCCTCCCTCCTCCCGCGTCGTTGTCGTCGTCGTCGTCGTCGTCGTCGTCGTCGTCGCCTACGTCGTCCTCTGTCTTTTCTCGTGTTCGTCGTCGTCCTCTTTGGCGTCGTGGTCGTTTCCGTCGTCGTTGTCGCCGTGGTCGTCCTTCCTCCTCCTGCCTCCTCGTCGTCGTCGTCCGTCGTCGGCGTCTCGTCGTCGTCCTTCCTATTTCGTCGCCGTCGTCGTCGTCGTCGTCGTCGTCTTCCCTCCTCCCTCGTCGTTGCCGTCGTCGGCGTCGCCGTCCTTCCTTCTTTTTCGTCGTTCGCGTCGTCGCCGTCCTCCCTCCTCCCTCGTCGTTGTCGTCGTTGTCGCCGTCGTCGTCCTCCCTCCTTCCTCGTTGTCTTCGTTGGCAACGTCGTCGTCGTCTTCGTCGTCGTCGTCGTCGGCGTCATTGTCGTCTTCGTCGTCGTCGACGTCGGCGTCGTCGTCGTCGCCGCCGTCGTCGTCGTCGTCGTCGTCGTCGGCGTCGTTGACGTCGTCGTCGTCGTCGGTGTCGTCGTTATCGTCGTCGTCGTCGTCGTCATCGTCGTCATCGTCGTCGTCGTCGTCGTCGCCGTTGTCGGCGTCGGTGTCGTCGTCGTCGTCGTCGGTGTCGTCGTCGTCGTCGTCGTCGTCGTTGTCGGCGTCGTCGAAGTCGTTGGAGACGTCGTCGGTGCCGTCGTAGTCGTTGTCGGCGACGTCGGCGTCGTCGTTGTCGCTGTCGTCGCGTCGTCGCTGTTGTTGCCAAGTGCCATGTGGGACCCACCGTCACGGTCTTAATATATTTTGCAAACCTAGTTGCGGGTGGGTGGGTGGGATGTTTGCGTGAGCAGTGGAGTGGACAGCTTCAAGACGGTCAAGATTAATTCTCTTTTCTAAAAAGAGAACAGACTCACCCCCCACCCCGGACTTATCGCTTCCCCCTGGGATAGTATGATTTCATTTATATTTTCTGCACACTCGTCCATCCCAAATATGAAATCATATCATCCCAGGCAGGCCGGGTTCCCCCCTGAGGTTCCCGTGAAAAAAAAACACTATGCGGTGACATTTTTTGTTCTAACATAGCACTTTTCCACGAATCCCTTGCAAACAATGGGACGAAGGGCGCACGCGCGCGTCGTCACGCGCGCATGCCGAAATCCTTCAAAAACCTTCGGTGCCGGAAGGATTTCGCAATCGAGTTTCCAAAACACGTACAAAAAACACATGGTTTTGCAACACTGATGTGCTAAACAAGCTTCCGCGCGAGCTCTTGCGAAATCTTGAGAAAACCAGGGGTTTTTCAAGATTTTCACAAAATGCTACCAAACGGGCTTCGCGCGCGCTCATGTCGAAATCTGTCGAACGCCCTTGCGCGTGTGCCGTCGCGAGAATCCTCTGCAAAAAAACGGAACGAAGTGCAGACGCGCGCGTCGTCGCGGGCGTATGCCGACAACCTTCAAAACCCATCGGTTTCGGAAGGATTTCAAAATCGTGCGTCCAAAAAACCTACAAAAACCCAAGGTTTCGCAACACGGATTTTCAACAAAAGCGTGCGCGCGCGCTCTTGCGTCGTCGTCGTCGTCGCCGTCCTCCCTCCTCCCGCGTCGTTGTCGTCGTCGTCGTCGCCTACGTCGTCCTCTGTCTTTTCTCGTGTTCGTCGTCGTCCTCTTTGGCGTCGCGGTCTTTTCCGTCGTCGTTGTCGCCGTGGTCGTCCTTCCTCCGCCTCCCACGTCGTCGTCGTCGTCCGTCGTCGGCGTCTCGTCGTCGTCCCTCCTATTTCGTCGCCGTCGTCGTCGTCGTCGTCGTCGTCGTCTTCCCTCCTCCCTCGTCGTTGTCGTCGTCGGCGTCGCCGTCTTTCCTCCTTCGTCGTCGTTC